TTCTACAGATTGCGTTGTATGGCAGTCCCAACTTCATTGCGTGCGAACCGATCGCCCAATGTCCCGTGGTGAGTGCCGTGAACCTGCTGATATCCCGCTTGCTGTTGGATAGCAGTTCCCTGGTTCGTTTCTTGTCGTACCTCGGCAACATTCCCTTGACCTTCTGTGATCGCTCTTTCTTTGCCATTCTTTACTAGCTATATAATATATAATACATTCTTTACTAGCTATAATAATATATATCTCGTTGTGTCCCGGTACCCATGTTACTTGTACCTTATTTTTGTCGGCAAGTCTATTACGGGCCTTCTTGCGTTCTGCCACTAGTTGTGAGTTTGTTTTAACGGCAGATAGGGATTTTATAGCCGCTTGGCTATCCGAGTAGATTCGAACTCTTTTGCCCCTGAGGTCCTGCCTTAAGGAAAGTTTGACTGCTTCCCTTATGGCTAGTAACTCAGCCTTAAAGACCGTCGCTGAGTTGGAGAGATTGAAAGCCTTTTCAATTCCCCAATTTTCAGCGAAGATCCCTGCCCCTACGCCGCAGCTCATTTTTGAGCCATCTGTGTAGAGGGACACCTCGTTCTCCACTACTACTCTGCCCCTACTCCAGTCATCCTTTGATGTATGATGTCGAGAATGCGTTCCCGAATTTCATTTCCGCGATCATGTAGTCGGTCTTAACGTCTGTGTTAATGCCGCTGTTTGCAAGGATCTTGCCGTGCCCGGCGCCGTAGTCCCTCCAGCAATTGCTCGCCTTCAGTCTTACTGCGTTCTGTGCCGCAGTGTCCTTCACGAACAGCTCTATCGGCATTATATCTAGGATAGCGTTGAGAGCAGCCGCGGGGCATGAGCGCAATGCACCCACGGCCCCCGCACTCGCTGCCCGTTGTATCCTTGTCAGCTTCGTTCTGTTGTAAGCGCTAGTTAGTGCCGGCCACCTTACTAGGGCTCCGTATGTTAGTATTGGCCGTACAACTGCTGTGTAGAGCCATAAAATTATCTTTGGGTGCAGTCCCCATTTCTTCCCAAAAATTTTCCTGCAGGAGTGAAATGAAATGCTTGCTTTCCCTACTCTTTCTGCAATGTTTTCTTTCCATGAGAGCTTTTTATCCAGAATTACTCCTAGATACTTCGCTCGATCCGCTAGTTTTAGCTCCATGTCGTTTATACTGGGCATGTTGAAGGGTGGTATCTTAGTTCTACGTGTGAAGAGCATAAGTTCCGTTTTAGTGGGGTTTATACCTAGTCCGCAGGTTTCTGCCCATTTGTTTAAACGACCTAGCGCACCCGTCATTATTTCGCTAATAACGTCAGGGTATGGTCCTGATACTAGCAGTACTACGTCGTCCGCGTATGCAACTGCTTTGACTCCACCCGTATTGAGATCTGTCAATATGGCGTTCATATTTGTGAGCCAGAGTAGGGGCGATAGTACCCCGCCCTGAGGTGTGCCTCTCTTCACAGTCCGCGTGAGGTGAGTGCCACTCAGTTCGGCTGTGATCGTCCTGCTCTTTAGCATGACTCCGATCCACTCTCTGATGCCTCTCTCAATACCTAGCAAGTTGAGGGAGCCCAGGATAGAGTCGGGGTTCACGTTATTGAACGCGCCTTCGATGTCTAGGAAGGCTGTCATCGTGTATTGTTTGTATTGTAATGTCTTCTCGATATGATGTACAACTACGTGTAGCGCTGTTTCCGTAGATTTTCCTCTGCGATACGCATGCTGCGCATCCGAGAGTTGATGCCCTTCTAGAGACTCTCGGATGTGGAGGTCCAGGAGTCTCTCTAGTGTCTTCAGGGTGAAGGAGGTGAGACTTATCGGTCTATAATCCTTTGCTAGGATGTGCCCCCTTCTGCCCGGTTTCGGTATAAAAATGACTTTAGCCTCTCTCCACAGCAGTGGGACGTGCGTCAGTCTTAAACAAGCTTCGTAAATAGCTTTTAGCCATTTGCAAATATTGTCCTTAGCTGATTGTAGCATTGCCGGTATTAAGAATCTATTGCCCACTGGATTCGCTCAGTGGTAATGATGTCTTTCGTAGGTATCCATTTGAGAGCTCGTTCCCTTCTCGGGTTTCGAGCTCACTCTTAGGCTTCCTGGGAAGTGGGTGTCAACTAGTAGCTCTAGTGACTCCTCAATTGTTGTCGTAGCAGAGCCGTCTGTCCTGTTGATCAGGGTAGGGCTTATGTGACCTTTGGCGAGGATTTTGCTTACTCTCGCCGCGTCCTTTATGCTTTCCAGTGACTCGCAGTAGTTTTGCCACGACTCTTTCTTGTATACTGCCTTCTTGTAAATTTTTTGTGCCTCTTTGTATGATCCCCAATCCCGGGTTGCATAGCTGTGTTTAAAGGACTTTCTCGCGCTCTTCCTGAGCTCGCTTAATTCCTTTGCCCACCACGGTGGGTATTGCTTCTTCGAGAATGTTAGCTTACAAGTCTCTTTGAAGGCGTTGTTCAGAATATTCGTTAGGTCCTCAACCTCCTTGTCGAGTGCCTTTGCAGTGGATATTGTCTTGATCCTCCTGCCGTTTACTTTAGATCGGACAATTTCGCTGAAATTGTTCCAATCCGTCTTACGGGGGTTTCTTTATGGCACCTGTTTCTTAACTGGTGTCGTTATATCAAAGAAAATGTATCTATGTTCTGAGAAGGAGTGTTCCGTTAATACCCTCCAGTTCTCGACCCTGTAATTATTTTGTTCTATAAGTAATGTGAGGTCTAACACCTCTTCCCAACCTTAAAAATTTTCCGTGCTCGGAAAGATAAAGGTCGGGGTATTACCCTTATTGCATATCGTTACATTTCTACATATTATATTGTCAAAGAGTGACTCACCTCTTTCATTAGTCTCCGAACTACCCCAGAGCGTGTGCCTCGCGTTCGCATCACACTCGAGCACCAGGGGCGTCTTCGTCGCTTCCGCCCATTGCAGCAGCTTTACTACCGGCTCAGGCGGGGCCGGCTCGTCATGGGCCATGTAAGCCTATGATATGGTGACTCCGCTCCCATCCGCCGCCACGAATCTGGCCACTGCTAGGTCAGGTGTGCTGAGATTGGGACAGAGAAAAGCGTTAAATTGATTCTTGATTACAATGCAAGCTCTCGACCTACCATTCGAGTTTGTGCACAGTAGTGTGTATCCTTGGATTCTCAGTCCAGCGACTTGCCCGTCCCTGGTCCAAGGCTCCTGAATCAGACCGATGTCGATATCCCTCTCCCTTAGAAGGATCGTGAGATTAGCTGAAGCGTGCGAGCTGCGCTTCAGGTTAATCTGCACGATTTTCGACATCGATGTTGGTGGGGGTGGCGTCAGGAGATTTGTCGTCGATGACCATGTCGTCCAACAATTTGTTGGTGTCATCGACCTCCTCCAGAATCTCGTCCGGCTCGGCCAAGAAGACCTTAATCTTGGCCTTCCTGATGCCGTACCGGACCTTGTGGTCGTTTGCCTCCAGCTGGGGCAGACATTGCTGGTTAATCAGCAGGAGGAAAGGCTGGCTCGCCTTCATTACCTACTCTGCCCTGAGGATGGTCCAGTCCTCTGTATGTATATCTGGGTTCTGGGCCTTCAGACAGGCAATCACCCTTGCATGGTCAGTTTGGCCCTTAGGCAACCAGATGAGAGCTCTGGATCTCCTTGGGATCTCCCTGGCGTGGACTAGCCTAATCTTAAGGCCAGCCCATGTGTCGCTAATCTTAGCCACACACTCCGCCAGGAAGCTTCGGGAGAAACCGTCGTCGCACCAGATGACCCGGTGCCCTCTGACCACGTCTGAGGAGTCGGAGGAGGGGATGGGGCCGGTCGGCATGCTGACCAACCTGTCGGTCACCATGTCGGCCAACTTGGCCTCGATCTCCTCCCACTTCTCCGACAGCAGGCGACCGTCGTCATGGAGCTCGTCCACCAGTGCCATAGCCAGACTGTCTCTGGCCACCTCGCTAAACTTCTTTGCCTGGCTGACAAAGTTAGTCGCACGCGGCTTACCCTATGGGTCCTTCGCTTTCTTAGGTGCGCTTTCGCTCACTTCCTGTGCCGCTTTGTATTGCTCGAATTCCGCGATCTCCGCAAGGAATTTGGCCTTGTCCTCGGCATCCCAAGGGTCAGTTTTGCCCTCAGCCTCATTCTTGGCTATCTTGCCGAGAACGAAGCGGGCTCTGTTGACCCTCGCTCGTCTCTGATGGTGAGACATTTTCGCTATCTCTGAGGTGGTGCTCAGCTGAGCCCCACCTGTGTGTTTCGATTGGGGAGTGCTACTCGCTCTCCCCTCGGATTGCGGCTCTTCTCCGTCGGTCTCCGATGCAATGTGAGATGCAGCGACCAGTCTCGGCCTCTGCTCCTTCTCGTCCTTCGTTGACATTGTTTGGGGTTTATCCTCTCCCGGGAGTTTCGAAGCTCGGTTTTTGGAAGTCATTACAATACATGAACGCCCGCTTTGCTCGACCTGGCAAGCGCAGCGGGCCAGAGGGGGTTTGGGGCTTTGAAGAAGGTCGACCGCAGCTTCGCCCCAAAACTGCGGCAAGGCCACTTACGACCCACGGTTGCCTGGCCCTGGGAAGGCTCCGTGCAGACACAGCTGGCTTTACCCCTCAGCTGCGAACCTGAAAGTCAGTGTGCACGGGTCGCATCACACACCTGACTTGAGGGGAGGCTGATTAAAGACTGCCTAGGTCCGCCCGACTACAATTGATCAGCATCTCCCCTGGGGACCTGCTTCCAGCCGCCCTCTCTTGGAGAGTATAGTCGCACTACCGATGGTGTACACAGTTACGGCAGATGACGCAGTCATCCGTTTATCCCCCTGTGCACCCTATCGGCTGACGGCCATTGATTTTTGACTAATATAAGTGAGTAAATAAAAACAGACTTGACAAAAACCTTATTCAATCGTTTAATTTTGTTGTACTATAAGTATATAAGTCCGTTGTGAATACATAAATAGAGTTAAACAGTAATAGACCAACTATTTGATTACTTAAATAATAAATATATAATTATTTATTTAGAGTAATGGCTGCCGCAATGTCTCTAACATTTGGACGGGGAGGAGCGCTACTTGGAAACTTAATATTCGGATTTCTTATTGACTACAATTGCACTATTCCACTTATTCTCTTTTCGGGAATGTTATTTTGTAAGTAAAATACTAATTATCGCGTAAAATTAAGAAGTCAATATATTTTTTATTTAGTATGTGCGTTCTTATGTTGGCTTTTACCAAAGACTGGATCGGAAGCACTGGATTAAACCTACAATAATGGAAAAATCTTCTATACTAATCGTGTTAATATTAATTGAGAATCAATTAATAATCAAATCAAATCAATCAAATTAATAATTTGTAGAATAAAATAGTTGTAACTTTTTGCCTATTGCTGATATATAAAATGTTGCTACCATTAAAACGTATACATATTATTTTCACATTTTTTCTTTTCGATTTTTTTTTTGCGTTAAATTATTTTTAAAAACTACCATCTTTTTTATGTTTTTTATTCCATTTAATTTCACAGTTTCTTTTTTGTATTGGCCACGACTGCATCTCGGCGGAGTCCGTTAGTTTAATTGCGGAGCACAGAGTCTGTGTTCATTTGCGATTTCTCTAGTTTATATCATTCAACAGCAAATTCAGAAGCCAAATAAGAAAACATCGAACTGAGCGAGAACCTAACATCTCAAAAGAGAACTAAACTTTTAGCTTTTCACTTTTTTTTAAGAAAGATGGTTGTCAAAGTATGGGTGCAGTTATTCCTGAAATATCAGAGAATCAGCAGTTTTGGATAGTTTCCTGTTAAAGATATGCCCAGTGATGACACTCTTAATACTGGCCATACATCGAATCAAAAAAACGACTTCCAACGGTATAAAATAAATAAATGGAATGGTTAATTAAAGAACTGGTAACAATGCATGAGAGTGTTAAGTAAAATTGCATCAGTTGGAAATGCGAATTGATAAGGAGTTTACTATGAGTTCGTTTAACGAAAAAATCGTAAATAAAACTCAAAAAAAGGTACACTTCTATTTTTGGCAGAGAGTGAGTTGGCTTGTTGTAATCTTCTGTCAAGTAATGCAAAAAATGTTATTTAGGAGTAGTTAATAAAAATTAAGTTGTTTTTACATTGTTGTGTTGTGAGGTTGTGATAAACTGTCAGTGCTCAGGAGGCTCAGGGATGAATTGTATTTGGTTCAGGTGGGGTTGTTGCAAGAGATTCCGACCCGGGTCTCAGTGCAGTAGCCGGAACGACCGATCTTGTTGCGTTAAATCAAAAAAATTGTTGACAAAATTAATGTATATGGCCTATCTATTCTGAAAGTAGATTGTCCAACTAAATGCAAACCAATGCTGTTATATAAATATGGGCTTATACCAGAGCTGCAAAATTCATTAGCCGATCAGTTGGCTGTGGACCAAAAAAAAATCGGAAAACTACACATAAATTTAAAACTTTCCGGATTTTTTTATTTTAAGCAAACAAAATGGAAATATTAGTTATGGTATCTAATAGACTTCTGCATGAATGTACTCATTTGCAGCACAACAGTTCTGTAAAGTAGGGTAGTGTTCTTAAAAATACTGCACTCATTCTTTACTGTACAGTATTCTCTATAGGCCAGAAGAAGATAGCACAACATTTTCAGTGTTCTAACTCCGAGTGAGAACAGTATATGGTTGTACTCTTCGTGAGTACTATATTTGTCTCTTTTTAAACAGCTATATAGGTTGTTAGTTAACTGTGTACAACTGTGCAGATGAGTGCAGTATTTTTTAATAAGTGCATAAACATGGATTGCAAAGAAAACAGCGCTCGATGCACATGCACAAGACATAGATAATATATTTGCAGATTATTCGGAACCTGTTCGGAGCACTAATATTTTACAATATATTTAGAATAAACTTCAGTACAGTGAAGATTTTGATGTTCTGCAGTGGTGATCATTTAATAAAGACCGTTTTCCTTTACTTTATCAAATTAACTGCAAGTTGCCAAAAATGTATATTGCGAAAAACGATCCAAAATTGCCACCACTGAAGACATGGTAAATAAAATAATGTTTCTCCATTTCAATATTAATAAATTAAATATAAATTTTTTAATAACATAAAATAATTATTTTATCTATGATTAGGGGGGTGATCCTGCCCGCAAAGACTCGGCAACGGAGGCCCAAGAAATTCCCACATCGCTGGCGAATGAGTTAACCCGTCAGGGTTGAAAAGATAAAGGCGGGGGCGTCGTGGTAGATATCTGAGCGTCAGCTTTTATTCCCTGCTTACATGAGACTGACTTAAAGAGAAAGAACAAGCTCCTGGTCGTTTTGCCTCGTTAAAGCGAGAGCGGGAGATCGCAATAGTTGGAGAGCGGGCGCAAGCCGAGAACAAAAAGCTCGCTCCTGAGCAGAGGCGGCACACTGGGCCCCTCACGTAAACATCCTGCCCCCCTTGCAATCGCTCGGGTTGCGACAGGGTCGTTGCAGCTATGGCTGATGGCAGGCTCCAGACACGACCCAACCGAAGACGGTGCTTTGGGCCACTGGCAGTCCCTCCTGGATTTTCAGAAAGCCGGGCCGCATCACTCGCGAAAACATATCTGCGCCTAGGATCACGGAGATGGTCGCCGGTAGATAGAACCGCTCGTTGGCCAGGGTGATGTCGCGGAAGTGAGCCCGCACCGTCTCGCTTAGCTCCCGGATTGGAGTGCGGATGCGCACGTGCGGCTCCACCCTGAACACCAGGTCGAAACGAACATCCCTTTCCATCTTAGAGCCCACAGTGGTCGAACAAATTTATTCGCCGCCAACGTTAGTGGTGGGCAGACGGAAGCTATCCGCAAGCGACGCGTCGATGCAACTCGTCGGTGTGCACGGGTCGATGAGCGCTGCCGTGTCGATGGTACGCGCTCCGGTGTCAATCCGTTGCAGCTCGGTCGGAAGGACATTAACGCTGTGTCGCTGCAGCAGCGATGACAGCGTCGGCGCTGAAGCCGCGCTCTGCGGGCGTCCCTGGCCAATGGTGGACGGTTGCCCTCACGCGATGGACGATGGCGCACGGGCGGGGGTCGGCCGTGAAGTGGCGGAGGCCGTCCGGGGAGCGGCTGCAGATTGCCGAGAAGGGGCGACGGCGTCCCGAGGCCGGCGCGCATTCTGAGCAGCTGGCGCGGAGTCTGTGGTCGCTCAGATAGGTGGAGCAGCGTATGATGATCCAGGCCACAAATTTTGCAGCAGTCCCCTGGGACAGTACTTATTAGCGAGGACCGCCCGTAGCCGCTTCTCAGCACTTAGGCGCAGAAAACGACGGCATCGTCGTAGTGGGTGGATCCCCCTGCAGACTCGGCAACGGTAAGACAAGATACCTCGAGTACATCTGCTTTCTTGAGTGATGGCGTTGAGAGGACGCGGAGGCATCGTGCTGGATATGACTGCCTGAATGACGAAGAACAATGAAGGAATTAGTATAAGTATTTCGTATTGGAACTACGGCTTATGACTGCGAGACAACACATAACGTCGAGCCTTTGGAACTACTGTGGGCAGGCGGACGCGTCCATCGGAAGGAGGACAGCTTTGGCTACAGGGCGCTTAAGGAGCCCCCACGCAGTGCGGATGTCAACCTCACGAACGCGGGCGTCGGATCCTGGAAACACCGCACCGCATTCCTAACCGCCATTCATTGGATGGAAGGTTTTCTTCCTTAACCGCCACCATGTCCCCGACACGGAGGTCTCTTGACGGGGCTTGCCACTTATTCCGTTTATGAAGTTCCTTGAGGTACTCTTCTTTCCACCGCAGACGAAATTGCTGCTGGAGAGCCTTCAAATGCTGCCACCGGTTAATAATGAACGTTGTTTCCCCCTTTATTTCGGGTTCCTCCGTGGCTAGGAGGGGCCCACCAACAAGAAAATGTCCAGGAGTAAGTGCCAACAAGTCGGCGGGGTCTTCGGACATGGGAGCGATCGGGCGCGAGTTCAGACATGCTTCAATTTTCGCCAAGAGCGTGGGCAGCTCTTCAAACGTATATTTGCGCGTGGCCGTGGATTTATAGAACAGGGTCTTAAAGCTCTTGACGTCTGCCTCTCACAGGCCTCCAATGTGGAGGGCTCCCGGAGGAATGAAATGCCAGAGCAGCTGTTGATGGTAATAGGCGCTTGTCACAGCCCCTTTCACGCTTTGGAGAAAATCACGAGAGAGAAGAGCAGCCGCTCCTACAAGGGTTTTTCCGTTGTCCGATTGAACTTGACGGGGGCATCCTCTGCGGGACACGAAACGGGCGAAAGCAGCTAGAAATTTCTCGGTCGTAAGGTCGGACGTAGGCTCTAAATGGATGACCTTGGTGGCGAAGCACACGAACACTAAAACATATCCCTTTGTAATCAGACAGGCTTGGCCCGTGTAGTTCTTGATGTCGAAGGGGCCGGCGTAGTCCATACCGGTGTAGGTGAAGGGAAGAGAGAACGAAGTCCTCTCCTAAGGTAATTCTCCCATAAGTTGCGTCTGGACCCTCTCCTTGTGGATGACACATTTGACCAAATTCCTCACCCTCGGAATCCAGAATTTGGAACGGATTAGACGGATTGTCTGCTGATTGCCACCGTGTAGCGTAAAATGGACAAGAAGGCAAGACAGATGGTAGTTGTACGGGAGGATTATGGGTTGCCGCTCGTCATATAGGAGAATGTCTGAGGCCGTGACCCGTCCGCAGGCTCTCATGAGCCCCTGCAAATCAAGGAACGGGTTCAAATTTAACATGGGACTGGCTGCTGGTAGGGGACGTCCTTGAGTTAAGCAGCTAATCTCGGAGGAAAAAACGCGGTGTTTCGTTCGGCCGCCGCGATTTCAGTGGCGGTCAGGAAATCCTCAGGTGGAACCTCGCTCCTCCGAGTGCGCTGAACGAAGCGATGGACATAGGCGAGGACCCGCAACGCTTTGTCGAGTGTGGAGAACCGCATCAGAATATCTTCTGTGGGAGCCTTCGCGGCGTGGACCTTAACGGCTCGCTTCTCAAGCTCAGTGACGGGGGAAGCTCTGCCTTGAGTGGGCCACTCGCAGCGAGGCCTCTGCATCCAGGCGGGGCAGTGCCACCACAACTGACTTGCAGCGAGGTCTTGGAGCATTACCCCGGCTAGCGAGATCTGCCGGGTTCTGATCGGAGCGAACATGTGCCCATCTCTCCACCTCGGTCAGCTGGGTAATCTACGTCATCCGGTTAGCAACGAACGCTGTCCAGTGACACGCTGGTTTGTGCAACCAGGCGAGGACAATTGTCGAGTCGGTCCAGCAGTGCAGGGTGACTGCCGGCCCAGACATTTTTGGAAGAACGGCATTTGCCATTTCGGATAACAATAAGGCCCCGCACAACTCCAGCCGAGGGAGTGACACCGTTCTGATCGGGGACACTCGCGTCCTTGCA